GGTAGGATTGCTGGTTTCTTTTTCTGTCTCATAAACACGCTAGATAACAGGGATATCTTGCTACTCCTACTTACACTTTGGTCACACTTCACAGACACGCACATGCATATATATATACATACATCTAGGCTTTTCTCCTTTTTCTAAATAGCTCTTGTTCCTCTTTATTTCTTCTATTGTCCATGGGGAACTGGAAAAGAATCTTTCCTCCGTAAGCCATGCGTGTCGTATGAGGCGACTAAAATGCCGGGAGCAATGGGCTAGTAACCCCTTCTCCTGTAGACATTTACTAAAAAAGAGAAGAAGAAAACTTTATAAAACTGGGATGCTTAAATGTGCGTGGATGTAGTGCGGATGACAAGAAACAGATGATTGCTGATGTTATGAATGAAAAGAAGTTGGATGTCCTGGCCCTAAGTGAAACAAAGCTGAAGGGGGTAGGGGAGTTTTGGTGGGGGGAAATAAATGGGATTAAATCTGGAGTATCTGAGAGAGTTAGAGCAAAGGAAGGGGTAGCAGTAATGTTGAATGATCAGTTATGGAAGGAGAAAAGAGCATATGAATGTGTAAATTCAAGAATTATGTGGATTAAAGTAAAGGTTGGATGCGAGATGTGGGTCATAATAAGCGTGTATGCACCTGGAGAAGAGAGGAATGCAGAGGAGAGAGAGAGATTTTGAGAGATGTTAAGTGAATGTATAGGAGCCTTTGAACCAAGTGAGAGAGTAATTGTGGTAGGGGACCTGAATGCTAAAGTAGGAGAAACTTTTAGAGAGGGTGTGGTAGGTAAGTTTGGGGTGCTAGGTGTAAATGATAATGGGAGCCCTTTGATTGAACTTTGTATAGAAAGGGTTTAGTTATAGGTAATACATATTTTAAGAAAAAGAGGATAAATAAGTATACAAGATATGATGTAGGGCGAAATGACAGTAGTTTGTTGGATTATGTATTGGTAGATAAAAGACTGTTGAGTAGACTTCAGGATGTACATGTTTATAGAGGGGCCACAGATATATCAGATCACTTTCTAGTTGTAGCTACACTGAGAGTAAAAGGTAGATGGGATACAAGGAGAATAGAAGCATCAGGGAAGAGAGAGGTGAAGGTTTATAAACTAAAAGAGGAGGCAGTTAGGGTAAGATATAAACAGCTATTGGAGGATAGATGGGCTAATGAGAGCATAGGCAATGGGGTCGAAGAGGTATGGGGTAGGTTTAAAAATGTAGTGTTAGAGTGTTCAGCAGAAGTTTGTGGTTACAGGAAAGTGGGTGCGGGAGGGAAGAGGAGCGATTGGTGGAATGATGATGTGAAGAGAGTAGTAAGGGAGAAAAAGTTAGCATATGAGAAGTTTTTTACAAAGTAGAAGTGATGCAAGGAGGGAAGAGTATATGGAGAAAAAGAGAGAGGTTAAGAGAGTGTGATGAAGCAATGTAAAAAGAGAGCAAATGAGAGAGTGGGGAGATGTTATCAACAAATTTTGTTGAAAATAAGAAAAAGTTTTGGAGTGAGATTAACAAGTTAAGAAAGCCTAGAGAACAAATGGATTTGTCAGTTAAAAATAGGAGAGGAGAGTTATTAAATGGAGAGTTAGAGGTATTGGGAAGATGGAGGGAATATTTTGAGGAATTGTTAAATGTTGATGAAGGTAGGGAAGCTGTGATTTCGTGTATAGGGCAAGGAGGAACAACATCTTGTAGGAGTGAGGAAGAGCCAGTTGTGAGTGTGGGGGAAGTTCGTGAGGCAGTAGATAAAGTGAAAGGGGGTAAGGCAGCCGGGATTGATGGGATAAAGATAGAAATGTTAAAAGCAGGTGGGGATATAGTTTTGGAGTGGTTGGTGCAATTATTTAATAAATGTATGGAAGAGGGTAAGGTACCTAGGGATTGGCAGAGAGCATGCATAGTTCCTTTGTATAAAGGCAAAGGGGATAAAAGAGAGTGCAAAAATTATAGGGGATAAGTCTGTTGAGTATACCTGGCAAAGTGTATGGTAGAGTTATTATTGAAAGAATTAAAGTAAGACGGAGAATAGGATAGCAGATGAACAAGGAGGCTTTAGGAAAGGTAGGGGGTGTGTGGACCAGGTTTTTTACAGTGAAATATATAAGTGAACAGTATTTAGATAAGGCTAAAGAGGTCTTTGTGGCATTCATGGATTTGGAAAAGGCGTATGACAGGGTGGATAGGGGGGCAATGTGGCAGATGTTGCAGGTGTAGGGTTTGTAGAAGGTAGGTTACTGAAAGCAGTGAAGAGTTTTTACGAGGATAGTGAGGCTCAAGTTAGAGTATGTAGGAAAGAGGGAAATTATTTCCCAGTAAAAGTAGGCCTTAGACAAGGATGTGTGATGTCACCGTGGTTGTTTAATATATTTATTGATGGGTTGTAAGAGAAGTAAATGTGAGGGTCTTGGCAAGAGGCGTGGAGTTAAAAGATAAAGAATCACACATAAAGTGGGAGTTGTCACAGTTGCTCTTTGCTGATGACACTGTGCTCTTGGGAGATTCTGAAGAGAAGTTGCAGAGATTGGTGGATGAATTTGGTAGGGTGTGCAAAAGAAGAAAATTGAAAGTGAATACAGGAAAGAGTAAGGTTATGAGGATAACAAAAAGATTAAGTGATGAAAGATTGGATATCAGATTGGAGGGAGAGAGTATGGAGGAGGTGAATGTATTCAGATATTTGGGAGTGGACGTGTCAGCGGATGGGTCTGTGAAAGATGAGGTAATCATAGAATTGATGAGGGGAAAAGGGTGAGTGGTGCACTTCGAGTCTGTGGAGACAAAGAACTTTGTCCTTGGAGGCAAAGAGGGGAATGTATGAGAGTATAGTTTTACCAACGCTCTTATATGGGTGTGAAGCATGGGTGATGAATTTGCAGCGAGGAGAAGGCTGGAGGCAGTGGAGATGTCATGTCTGAGAGCAATGTGTGGTTGTGAATTAATGCAGAGAATTCGTAGTTTGGAAGTTAGGAGGAGGGTGCGGGATTACCAAAACTGTTGTCCAGAGGGCTGAGGAAGGGTTGTTGAGGTGGTTCGGACATGTGGAGAGAATGGAGCGAAACAGAATAACTTCAAGAGTGTATCAGTCTGTAGTGGAAGGAAGGCGGGGTAGGGGTCGGCCTAGGAAAGGTTGGAGGGAGGGGTAAAGGAGGTTTTGTGTGCGAGGGGCTTGGACTTCCAGCAGGCATGCGTGAGCGTGTTTGATAGGAGTGAATGGAGACAAATGGTTTTTTAATACTTGATGTGCTGTTGGAGTGTGAGCAAAGTAACATTTATGAAGGGGTTCAAGGAAACCGGCAGGCCGGACTTGAGTCCTGGAGATGGGAAGTACAGTGCCTGCACTCTGAAGGAGGGGTGTTAATGTTGCAGTTTAAAAACTGTAGTGTAAAGCACCCTTCTGGCAAGACAGTGATGGAGTGAATGATGGTGAAAGTTTTTCTTTTTCGGGCCACCCTGCCTTGGTGGGAATCGGCCAGTGTGATAATAATAAAAAATAAATAATGAGGTAAGTTGGTATTATGGCTGAGTGACTAAATACTAGTTTGTGAGTTTAGCAATGTGAATGCTTTTGTTTTGGCATAGTACATAGTTTCAGTATTGGAGTATCACAGGCCAACTTATGACTAGTTTGGATTCATTATTTTAAGATTGAGATTAATATTTCTGTTTATGGTCAAATGGGTGAGTAAGTGTAAGTGTGAACCACCAGGTGGTATTCGTGTTGTTAGTTGACGAGGTGTATCAGGGAGATAAGATGTTTTCTAATGGCAGTTTTGAAGGTTATGAATGTGTCTGCAGTTCTAGAGTTTTCAGGTAGGGTGTTCCAGATTTTAGGGCCTTTGACATGCATTGAACTTTTGTAAAGGTTTAGTAGGACATGGGGAATGTCATAGTGATGTTTGTGTCTGGTGTTATGCCTGTGGGTTCTGTCACAACTATCAAGAAAGCGTTTTAGGTCAAGGTTAATATTGGAATTTAAGGTCCTGTAGATGTAGATTGCACAGTAGTAAGTGTGGATGTACTGAACAGGGAGTAAGTTTAGATCTATGAAGAGTGGGGGGGTGTATTGCCAGGGAAGAAGAAGAAAAAAAAGAAGAAATATCCTCAACCACTTCTTGCTTCTCCTTGTGCAGGTCTTGAAATTCTGTGGTGAGTTCATTCTTGTGATCCTCCACCAACTCCTCTACATCCTCATCATCCACTTTCAAACCCATGGACTGGCCCAGAGAAACAATATCCTTCACTGCAGGCTCTGCCTCAGAGTCTTCAAAATTTCTGACGGACATACAGTCTGGCCACAATTTCTTCCAGGCAGAGTTCATTGTCCTGAAAGAACCTTACCCCTAGGCTTTGTCTGTAATTCTTAAACACTGGAGGATATTAAAATGGTTTTTCTGTTTTTTTTTTATTGCCTCTTTATTTTTCAATATGGGCAATATGGTGGATTTCACCATACCATATTGAGTGGCCAGGTCCGACACACGTATTCCACTTTCCCTTTTCACAATGGGTTTTTTTCCACTTTAATTGTTATTCTCACTGTTTTCTTTTTAGGCTTGTTTGGATCACTACTCTTTTTTAGGGCCATGATTACTCATTTTCAGTGAAAATATTTAAAATACACCACAGAATAACAATGAAACGCCAAAAAGTTTCATGTAGCTTGTATGAATGATGCTTAACGAATGAAACTTGACAAGAGACTTGAGTGCTTGATACTTTCTTTTTGTCAGACTTTGTCCAGATGGACCATTTTGTTTAGGTTGAATATCAGGGCAACGTCCGAATACAGAGTCAAATTTTTCTCAAAAAAAAGTTGGACGAATATCGAATTGTACAAATATAGGGACATACAGATATTGAGGTTCCTCTATATATCACTTGTAGCTCTATTGCTTATTGTCTTGTTAATTGTTTTGTGCCTGCTTTCATGCTAAAACTTTCTGGTTCATAACATTGTACATTTTTTATATATTGTATTTGTTACTTGAATTTTTGCAGGTTTCTGTGGAACTTGAGGATAACGTCACATTTACCAACGAACAACAGGAGAAAATGAAGAAAATACGTGGATTCGAACTTATTACGCACATGATAAACATGGTAACATTTAATGGTGGGGATGTAGTGCTAAAAGAGGGAGGCCTTATGAGAGAGACTTACCCAAATGTGGCTAAGGGTGATTTTACTTGGTTTAATAAAGATACAGAATTACAAAAGCAGCCTTGCAAAGAAAAGGATGATTCATATGAATTGGTCTTAATGAAAGATGAGAAACTTTGGACAGAGACTGTGGAGTACTTGCTTGATGCACAACCCTCACCACATAAGGAACAGTCTTCAGTGGCATCTGGTGAAAAAGTGGAAAAATTGGAATTGCCTGCTCTAGTGGATGATCATTTGGATATAGAGCTTAACGATGCTAAAAAATGTTGTGAAATGCGTAGTTTGGATGACATATTTGAAGATGAGCCAGTTCCACAACTTGTAAGACTGTCAAGTGCTGGAGGGGTACTGAATGAAGAGCTAAATTCTTGTTCAGAAATAAATGCAAAATTGGGGGATTGTCTTAGTTTTGTTGCAAATGAAATGGGGTTATCTGCAAATGATGAGCAAAAACCAACGAAGTTTGCAGGTAATGAATGTGAATTTGAAGAAGGATACTCAGGGACAAAAAAGAAGACATATAAACATTATTACCTTTTGAAACATAACATGGAGGATGAGAGAAGAAATATTCAAAATTATGGAGATCAGTGTTACAGTGATATTAGTTCAAAGAAAATAAACTTGGTGGATAAGGGGAAAATAGAAACAAAAGAGTCCAATACAGAGAATACAAATAATGCAAATTGCAAGAAATTGGATAAGAACACTGTTAAAGACAAAGAGAGACAGGAAAAAGAATTATGTCCTGAAAAAGATCATTTATCACAACAGTGTTCAAAGAATGACAACAACACCATTCATTTGGTATTTATGGAAGATTCAGCAGGTAGAGAAAACATTCCAGGAAGCTATCAGTATAAGCCCATAGTTCATATGAAGACTGGAAAGCCCTGGAATGGTTCTGCAGAAGATTATTGCAAGTATGTTTTTTATTTTTATTTTTATTTTTTTATGGGGTTGTGGGTTTGAGCTTCAAGTCAAGTAGTGCTAATTTGTGTGGTATGCCTAAATATAATTAATATATATTTGACATGATGATTATTATTTATTTATTTATTTATTATCACACCGGCCGATTCCCACCAAGGCAGGGTGGCCCGAAAAAGAAAAACTTTCACCATCATTCACTCCATCACTGTCTTGCCAGAAGGGTGCTTTACACTACAGTTTTTAAACTGCAACATTAACACCCCTCCTTCAGAGTGCAGGCACTGTACTTCCCATCTCCAGGACTCAAGTCCGGCCTGCCGGTTTCCCTGAATCCCTTCATAAATGTTACTTTGCTCACACTCCAACAGCACGTCAAGTATTAAAAACCATTTGTCTCCATTCACTCCTATCAAACACGCTCACGCATGCCTGCTGGAAGTCCAAGCCCCTCGCACACAAAACCTCCTTTACCCCCTCCCTCCAACCCTTCCTAGGCCGACCCCTACCCCGCCTTCCTTCCACTACAGACTGATACACTCTCTGAAGTCATTCTGTTTCGCTCCATTCTCTCTACATGTCCGAACCACCTCAACAACCCTTCCTCAGCCCTCTGGACAACAGTTTTGGTAATCCCGCACCTCCTCCTAACTTCCAAACTACGAATTCTCTGCATTATATTCACACCACACATTGCCCTCAGACATGACATCTCCACTGCCTCCAGCCTTCTCCTCGCTGCAACATTCATCACCCACGCTTCACACCCATATAAGAGCGTTGGTAAAACTATACTCTCATACATTCCCCTCTTTGCCTCCAAGGACAAAGTTCTTTGTCTCCACAGACTCCTAAGTGCACCACTCACTCTTTTTCCCTCATCAATTCTATGATTCACCTCATCTTTCATAGACCCATCCGCTGACACGTCCACTCCCAAATATCTGAATACGTTCACCTCCTCCATACTCTCTCCCTCCAATCTGATATTCAATCTTTCATCACCTAATCTTTTTGTTATCCTCATAACCTTACTCTTTCCTGTATTCACCTTTAATTTTCTTCTTTTGCACACCCTACCAAATTCATCCACCAATCTCTGCAACTTCTCTTCAGAATCTCCCAAGAGCACAGTGTCATCAGCAAAGAGCAGCTGTGACAACTCCCACTTTGTGTGTGATTCTTTATCTTTTAACTCCACGCCTCTTGCCAAAACCCTCGCATTTACTTCTCTTACAACCCCATCTATAAATATATTAAACAACCACGGTGACATCACACATCCTTGTCTAAGGCCTACTTTTACTGGGAAAAAATTTCCCTCTTTCCTACATACTCTAACTTGAGCCTCACTATCCTCGTAAAAACTCTTCACTGCTTTCAGTAACCTACCTCCTACACCATACACTTGCAACATCTGCCACATTGCCCCCCTATCCACCCTGTCATACGCCTTTTCCAAATCCATAAATGCCACAAAGACCTCTTTAGCCTTATCTAAATACTGTTCACTTATATGTTTCACTGTAAACACCTGGTCCACACACCCCCTACCTTTCCTAAAGCCTCCTTGTTCATCTGCTATCCTATTCTCCGTCTTACTCTTAATTCTTTCAATTATAACTCTACCATACACTTTACCAGGTACACTCAACAGACTTATCCCCCTATAATTTTTGCACTCTCTTTTATCCCCTTTGCCTTTATACAAAGGAACTATGCATGCTCTCTGCCAATCCCTAGGTACCTTACCCTCTTCCATACATTTATTAAATAATTGCACCAACCACTCCAAAACTATATCCCCACCTGCTTTTAACATTTCTATCTTTATCCCATCAATCCCGGCTGCCTTACCCCCTTTCATGATGATTACTGTAATTATACATGCACACACACACAGTATTTACACTGAGTATTCCTTTACCTTTGATATACCTTTGATGAGTTCTGAGAGTTTTTCCACTCCAGGAGCCTAGCCATGGGCCAGGCTCATGTACGTGTATTTTTCGTTATCAGAATATTATCTTTTACAACTCTTATTCAGGATTTTAGTTGAAGAGCTGAGGCGGGCAGCTGAGCTGAAACATGGCGATGTGAGCAGTCCCAAATGGAGCAAGTTCTTGGAAGAGCAGGCTTGGAGATGCATGACCCTTCAAATTCTTTCTGTGTCTCACTCGAGTTGTGTGAAGGTTGAACTAGATGGTTGTACACAAAATACTAAAGGTATGTATGATCTGCCTCTAGATTGTTGGGGTGAAATCGTTCCTTATTGCTATGAAATTTATATACTACTATTAAAAAAAAAACCTGCGGTCAGAGAGTTTCAAAACTCCAGACTGTCACTTTAGCCATTGGGCCAGCTAGCTTCAATGAGATTCATCCAACTAGGTATATTTATACACCATCGGAAGGTTAGCATAGGCACTACAGTGACCACAAATGCAAGTTTTTACAGACGAATCTCCCGCTAGCATGGCCGTGATGAACTCTAGCTCAAGTCCCCTCAAAGTCGTCAACATGACTCACGAAATCGTAATGACATGATTGCAAACAAACCATACCACGGATGGGGTTTGAACCCGTAGTCAGAGAGTCTCGAAACTCCAGACCATCGCGTTAGCCACTGGGCCAGCTAGCGTCAATAAGATTCATCCAACTAGCCATCCAAAAAGTCTCTGCCTACTAAACCAACTCCCTGAATATGAAAAAACAGAAGTTGCAAAACATGCTTTTACCGGGGCAGCGTTTTGTTTTATCGTTTGGTAATAAAATAACAAGAAAATATTGGATTCTCAGACAAATAGACTGTTTAAAGCAGAGGACTCTGGTAAACTTTTTCAAGGATTCTTAAAGAATTCTTTACACTTTTTATGATTTTTTAGCTCTTTCCAAATGTTATAATATAATAATAATAATCTTTCTTCTCCTTTCAACACACCGGCCATATCCCACTGAGGCGGGGTGGCCCAATAAGAAAAACGAAAGTTTCTCCTTTTACATTTAGTAATACATACAGGAGAAGGGGTTACTAGCCCCTTGCTCCCGGCATTTTAGTCGACTCTCATGACACACATGGCTTAGGAAGGAAGAATTTTGTTCCATTTTCCCATGGAGATAAGTGGAAATAAACAAGAACAAGAACAAGTAAGAAAAATAGAAGAAAACCCAGAAGGGTCTGTATATATATATACTTGTACATGTATATGTAGTGTGACCTTAATGTAAGTAGAAGTAGCAAGACCTACCTGAAATCTTGCATGTTTGAGACAGAAAAAAGACACTAGCAATCCTACCATCATGTAAAACAATTACAGGCTTTCGTTTTACACTCACTGCTGTCTACCAACCTACTACCTAGGAATAATAATAATATTAAAGAATGTTAAGAGGAATTTCCAAAATTGGTATCTGGTTTCTTCAATATTTTGTATTACTGTACTTCAGACAAGATTGTGACAGTGGTATGGAAGATGGTGAATGTGATTCCTGTCTGTAAAATGGAAAATAAGCCCTTGTAATACCTGCTACCAGTTCCTAGACTTCTCTCCTGCATCCCTGCTTGAGGCTAGACTTTCTGTTTGGTTGCCTGATAAACCAGGCAGTTGCTGGTTGCAGGCTAAACTCATTTGTCATTTGAGTAAACTAGTCCAGTTTTCTCTGAAAAAAAAATGTATTTTATGTTCCTGTTTTAATTCTTATATCTGCTGATAGAAGACTGAATAATCTGTGACCACAGATGTTGATATATCTCTAGCCGATACTTATACTCAGTTTTAGGCTGCTACTGATACTCGGCTTTAGGCTGATATCATTACCACTAAAATTAGCTGATACTCACACATTCCAATACTTAGGGTACACTCTTAATATGTATTGCTTGTATTAATTGTATTTAAAATTATTCATTCACCCAGGCAAATAACATCAAATATTCATTTACAGAATGGGCCTTTGTGTTATACAACTATGCAAGGCTCAGCATGATATTTGAATCATTTGAAGAATATGTTAGAAAAGGATGTGTATCCCCACTACCTTCTCCAGATGATCTGGACTTCTCCCTTCTAAGACATGATGTAAGTCTTATTGTTAATGCTTGCTGTTTATTGTTTTCAATGAATCACTTTCTTTAAATGCCAGGAATACAGAAGTGGTGAAGTACAAAAATGTATGGAATAAATTTTTTTGTGTTGTCGATAAAGTGATATTTGGGAACATCAGTGGGATCAGGTGGAAGAAAGTTGTATTGTGGGAAAAGTTTAATCACTTGAGTTTTGCACAATACATAAGTTATTGTAAAAATATCCAAACAGTACAGGTAGATACATCTATTCTGCTTCACCTAGTTCCCTTGAGGCTAGTGTAGGACTCCTGATCTAAGGAATTGGATTTACCGTATTTCGTGGCTTATTAGACGCATTTTTTCCATAAAATGTCTGCAAAAACCACCCTGCATCCTATAAACTGAAGGTCAGTGACAGGAGCTATAAGTTTGGGGTGTGGGGTGGGCTGTAGCTCCCCCAATTACATCTGATGCCAATCCATTGAAACTAAAACAAGTCTTATAAGCCGTGAAATATGGCTTGATTGTCTCTCATTTCCCATAAGCTGTATGACCCCTACAGATTTAGTGCTTCCTTTAAATATAATACTAATAGCTTGCCAAGTTTGGCAGTAACTGGGTCCATGAATGTGGTAGCTTGAAAATACTTGACTGAGAGAGCTGCACTTGTAGGCTCAGTACAGCAAGTAAATAATTCTTTAATTCTTCATGTGTGCAGCTGAATCTTTGTAATTACGTATATGCATAATTAACCCTTTGACTGTCGCAACCCCCAATCCTGAGGTGTCTCCTGGTGTCGCAAAATTTAAAAAAAAAAAAAATTATTTTTTCTTATGAAATGATAGAGAATCTTTTCCCGATTGTAATGGCACCAACAAAACGAAATTTGATGGAAAACTGACGGAATTATGCTCTCGCGAAGTTAGCGACCTCAGCGATGTTTACAAATCGGCGATTTCGCCAACTTTGAGCCCTATTTTCAGCTAATTCCATTGTTCCAGTCGCCCAAACTCATAGCTATTTCTTTAGAACTCCATTTTTTCTATCGATTGAGTACAAGAAACTGCCCATTTACCGATTTCAATTACCTAATAATGTGGTCAGAAATTTGGAATTTGGCCAATTTCACGAAAAATAAAAAATATGACAATTTCAAAATAAGGTCCAGAATGAACAATGCAGACATTCCTGGCTCTAAAATAACATTTTCTTTGTTCATCAGTCACATCTCCAGGCCCCTCTGATATTACTCTTGCTTTCTATTTTGAATTTTTATTCAAACAAAAAATAGAAGACTTACTATTATGCAGACTACTGCAATACTGTAATAATTGTATAAATAACATCAACCCATTCGTGACTGCATATTAGAATGGCTAATTGGACATTTATTGGACAATGGCATCATTTGTTTACTTTTGAACATTGGCAAAAATCAAACATTTCCCCTACTTTGAGCTCCATTTCTAGGTTCTTTTTATAGTAAAATCAATCAAAATCACCTCTACTTCTATAATATGTTTTTCATTCTATCAAATGAGACCAAGAAAATGAGAATACAACCATAAATACTATACGAAAATAGACCACAAAGTTGGCATTTTAATTAAAAAAAACGGTTGGAGTTTTTTTTTCTCATTATGCACTGTGTGCTCCAGGATTTTTTTTATATGGTGCACACTGACCACACAGACCCATTCTCTCACATGTGGGCCTACCAGCTTTCTCCTGCTTGATTTGAAGCCGCTAGAATTTATGAGTATATATACGTCAAACACGGTACCTCGTAAGACGTACATATATGGCCGCGACAGTCAAAGGGTTAAAGTCGCCCAAAAAATGAAGCAGTCTAAAACAAGAAACTGAAAGCTATAGAATTATTATCAAGATTTAAAGAAATGTCAAACAGCAATTTGTTAATTTTCTAATTGCTATACTGTATCTGTAATATGCTGTATATGCAGCTGTAAGAGGTTGTATTAATCTGGGGTGGAAGGAAGGAGGGGTAGGGGTTATGCCAAGAAGGCTTAGAGAGAGAGGGGTAAAGGAAGTCTTGAGTGCTTAGGGCTTGAACTTCCATGTGAGTGCCTTAGACTGGATTGAGTGGAGACAAGAGGCTTTCATGGCTATATGTATATGCTGTTGGAGTGGAGCAAAGTAGCATTTATGAAGGGATGCAGAGAAACCAGTGAAACAGACTTGAGTCCTGGAGTTGGAAAGTACAGTGCCTGCATCCTAAAGGAATGAGGATGTTGCAGTTTGGAGGGTTATTATCTGAACTGCAATATCAGCATTCTTCTGGCTAGTCATTGATTGAATAAATGATGGTGTATGTGTTTTCCCTTTTTTTTTGGGGGGGGGGGGGCTTACCTTACCTCAGTGGGAGATGAGTAAGGCTTTTTTTTTTTTTTTAACAAACCGGCCGTATCCCACTGAGGCAGGGTGGCCCAAAAAAGAAAAACGAAAGTTTGTCTTTTTAAATTTAGTAATTTAAACAGGAGAAGGGGTTACTAACCCCTTGCTCCCGGCATTTTAGTTGCCTCTTACAACACGCATGGCTTATGGAGGAAGAATTCTGTTCCACTTTCCCATGGAGATAAGAGGAAATAAACAAGAATAAGAACTAGAAAGAAAATAGAAGAAAACCCAGAGGGGTGTGTATATATATGCTTGTACATGTATGTGTAGTGTGACCTACGTAAGTGTAAGTAGAAGTAGCAAGATGTACCTGAAATCTTGCATGTTCATGAGACAGAAAAAAGGACACCAGCAATCCTACCATCATGAAAAACAATTACAGGCTTTTGTTTTACACTCACTTGGCAGGACAGTAGTACCTCCCTGGGTGGTTGCTGTCTACCAACCTACTACATAGTAGATGAGCAATGTATTAAGAATAAATATACATGTATATGATAACCCATTCATGTGAACATATGCACATGTAATAAAGAAATTTGTCCAAATAATATAAACTATAGCATTCATTTATTAATAATGTAATACAGTGGACTCCCGGTTTACGATCAGCTCCCAATGCGACCAATTATGTAAGTGTATTTATGTAAGTGCGTTTGTATGTGTATGTTTGGGGGTCTGAAATGGACTAATCTAATTCACAATATTCCTTATGGGAACAAATTCGGTCAGTACTGGCATCTGAACATACTTCTGGAATGAAATAATATCGTAAACCGGGGGTCCACTGTATGTGATAGACATTTCATTCCCATTATAAAAATATTTAAGGCTCTGTCAACTCTATCCATTTTTTTGCTTCTTCTTCTTTCAACACACCGGCCGTATCCCACCGAGGCGGGGTGGCCCAAAAGGAAAAACAAAAGTTTCTCCTTTTACATTTAGTAATATATACAGGAGAAGGGGTTACTAGTCCCTTGCTCCTGGCATTTTAGTCGCCTCTTACAACACGCATGGCTTACAGAGGAAGAATTCTGTTCCACTTCCCCATGGAGATAAAAGGAAATCAACAGGAACAAGAACTAGAAAGAAAATAGAAGAAAACCCAGAGGGGTGTGTGTGTATATATGCTTGTACATATATGTGTAGTGTGACCTAAGTGTAAGAAGAAGTAGCAAGATGTACCTGAAATCTTGCATGTTTTTTTTTTTTTTTTTAACAAACCGGCCGTATCCCACCGAGGCAGGGTGGCCCAAAAAGAAAAACAAAAGTTTCTCTTTTCAAATTTAGTAATTTATACAGGAGAAGGGGTTACTAGCCCCTTGCTCCCGGCATTTTAGTTGCCTCTTATGACACGCATGGCTTATGGAGGAAGAATTCTGTTCCACTTCCCCATGGAGATAAGAGGAAATAAACAAGAACAAGAACTAGAAAGAAAATAAAAGAAAACCCAGAGGGGTATGTATGTATATATATGCTTGTACATGTATTTGTAGCGTGACCTAAGTGTAAGTAGAAGTAGCAAGACGTACCTGTAATCTTGCATGTTTATGAGACAGAAAAAAGAACACCAGCAATCCTACCATCATGTAAAACAATTACAGGCTTTCATTTTACACTCACTTGGCAGGACGGTAGTACCTCCCTGGGTGGTTGCTGTCTACCAACCTACTACATAGTAGATGAGCCATGTCTTTCTTTCAACACACCGACTGTATTCCACTGAGGTGGGGTGGCCCAAAAGGAAAAACGAAAGTTTCTCCTCTTACATTTAGTAATATATGCAGGAGAAGAGGTTACTAGCCCCTTGCTCCCGGCATTTTAGTTGCCTCTTACAACACGCATGGCTTACGGAGGAAGAATTCTCTTCCACTTCCCCATGGAGATAAGAGGAAATAAACAAGAATAAGAACTAGAAAGAAAATAGAAGAAAACCCAGAGGGGTGTGTACATATATGCTTGTACATGTATGTGTAGTGTGACCTAAGTGTAAGTAGAAGTAGCAAGACATACCTGAAATCTTGCATGTTCATGAGACAGAAAAAAGAACACCAGCAATCCTACCATCATGTAAAACAATTACAGGTTTTAATTTTACACTCACTTGGCAGGACAGTAGTACCCCCCTGGGTGGTTGCTGTCTACCAACCTACTACATAGTAGATGAGCCATGTATTAAGAATAAATATATATGATAACCCATTCATGTGAATATATGCACATGTAATAAAGAAATTTGTCCAAATAATATTAACTATAACATTCATTTATTAATAATGTAGTATGTGATAGACATTTCATTCCCATTATAAAAATATTTAAGGCTCTGTTAACTCTATCCATTTTTTTGCTTATAATTGTTATTTATTTTTATAATACAGTGCTGTACGTACTTGTGTAATTTAATATTCTATTTATTTCTATATATTTATTAGGAAAACCACTAAACTCATGGGGCATAAAGAGAATTTAGCACTGCAAGGTAAAGCAATGGCATTAGCCTAAGGGGATATAATAAGTATTATTTGAAGGCACCATTACAGCAAATTGAATCAAGAAGAGTAAATTTTGAATTAATAATTGGTGTATACAATTCCAGTAGTAGGTTGGTAGACAGCAACCACCCAGGGAGGTACTACCGTCCTGCCAAGTGAGTGTAAAACGAAGCCTGTGATTGTTTTACATGATGGTAGGATTGCTGATGTCTTTTGTCTGTCTCATAAATATGCAAGATTACAGGCATGTCTTGCTACTTCTACTTACACTTAGGTCACACTACACATACATGTACACATTTATTTATACACACTCATCTGAGTTTTCTTTGATTTTATCTTAATAGTTCTTGGTTATTAATTTTCCTTTATATCCAGGGAAGTGGAATAAGAATCTTCCTGTAAGCCAGGCGGTTGTAAAAGTCAACTAAAAAGCCGAAACAGGGCTAGAACCCCTTTTCCTGAAAAGATTACTAAAAAGAATAAGAAGAAGAAATTGTCAAAGTGGAAGTCTGAATTGTGCTGGATGTTGTTGCAGATAAAAAAGAAGATTGGGATTTATGAATGAGAAAAGCTGGATTCCGGCTTTAATGAAACAAAGCTGAAGGGGTGGGAGAGTTTCAGTGGAGAGGAATAATGGGATTAGTCGGGTTTCAAATGAGTTAGAGCTAAAGAAGGAGTAGCAATAATGTTTAAAGGGATAAGCTAATGCAGTGAAAAGAGGGGATAAATGTTTTAATTAAAAGGTTATGTGGAGTAAAATAAAGATTGGTGTGAAAAGTGGTATAATAAGGTGTGCACCTGGGAGAGAGAAGTGTAGAGGAGAGAGAGAGTTTGGGAAAATGTTGAGTGAATGCGTGGGGAGTTTGGGAACAGTGTGAGAGTAATGGTGGGGGTTTTATGCTAAGTGGGTAAAATGTTATGGGGGGGAAAAGTAGTAGTAATTGGGGTGCCAGGGGTAAAATGTAAATGGGGAGCCTTTAATTGAGCTATGTGTAGAAAGAAATTTGGTAATAAGTAATACATATTTTATGAAAAAAGGATAAATAAATATACAAGGTATGATGTAGCACGTAATGAAAGTAGTTTATTAGATTATGTATTGGTGGATAAAAGGTTGATGGGTAGGCTCCGGGAAATGTACATGTTTATAGAGGGGCAACTGATATATCGGATCTTTATTTAGTTGTAGCTACAGTTAAGTAAGAGGTAGATGGGAAAAGAGGAAGGTGGCAACAACAAGTAAAGGGAAGTGAAAGTGTATAAAACTAAGGGGGGAGGGAAATTCGGGTGAGATATAAACGACTATTGGCAGAAAGGTGGGCTATGCAAAGATGAGTAGGGGGGTTGAAGAGGGTTGGGAAAAGTTTTTTAAAAAAGCAGTATTAGAATTGGGGCAGAAGTTTGTGGTTATAGGAGGGTGGGGCAAAGGGGGAAAAGAAGGTGAAATTGGTGGAATGATGAAGTAAAGGTGTGATAAAAGAGAAAAAGGTAGCTTATGAAGGTTTTTTACAAAACAGAAGTGTTATAAGAAGAGCAGAGTATATGGAGAGTAAAAGAAAGGTAAAGAGAGTGGTGAGAGAGTGCAAAAGGAGAGCAATGATAGAGTGGGAGAGGCACTGTCAAGAAATTTTAATGAAAAAAAAAAAATTTTGGAGTGATTAAAACAAGTTAAGAAAGCCAAGGGAAAATATGGATTTGTCAGTTAAAAACAGAGTAGGGGAGTTAGTAGATGGGAGATGGAGGTATTTTGGGTAGATGGCGAGAATATTTTGAGGAACTTTTAAATGTTAAGGAAGAAAGGAGGCAGTAAATTTTCATGCACTGGTCAGGGAGGTATACCATCTTTTAGGAGTGAAGAAGAGCAGAATGTAAGTGTGGGGGAGGTACGTTTAGGCATTACGTAAAATGAAAGGGGTTAAAGCAGCTGGAACTGATGGATCATGACAGAAATTTAAAAGCAGGGGGGGGATTATTTGTGTTGGAGTGGTTGGTACTTTTTTTTAATAAATGTAAGAAAGAGGGGAAGGTACCTAGGGGTTGGGCAGAGGGGCATGTATAGTCCCTTTATATAAAGGGAAAGGGGACAAAAGAGACGTAAAAATTTATAGAGGAATAAGCTTACTGAGTATACCAGGAAAAGTGTACGGTAGGGTTATAATTGAAAGAATTAGAGGTAAGACAGAATGTAGGATTGCGGATGAGCAAGGAGGTTTTAGAGTGGGTAGGGGATGTGTAGATCAGGTGTTTACATTTAAGCATATATGTGAACAGTAAATTTTGATAAAGTAGGAGTTTTTTTTTTGCATTTATGGATTTAGAAAGGCTTATGATAGAGTGGATAGAGGAGCAATGTGGGAGATGTTGCAAGTATATGGAATAGGTGGTAAGTTATTAAATGCTGTAAAGAGTTTTTATGAGGATAGTGAGGCTCAGGTTAGGTGTTAAAGGAGGGAGACTACTTCCCGGTAAAAGTAGGTCTTAGACAGGGATGTGTAATGTCACCATGTTGTTTTAAAATATTTATAGATGGGGTTGTAAAGGAAGTAAATGCTAGGTGTTTGGAGAGGGGTGGGATTAAATTATGGGAATCAAATTCAAAATGGGAATTGACACAGTTACTTTTTGCTGATGATACTGTGCTTATGGGAGATTCTAAAGAAAATTGCAAAGGTTAGTGGATGAGTTTGGGAATGTTGTGTAAAAGGTAGAAAGTTGAAAGTGAACATAGAAAAGAGTAAGGTGATGAGGGGGTCAAATGATTTAGATTTAAAGAAAAATTGGATATCAAATTGGGAGGAGGAGTATGGAAGAATGAATGTTTTCAGATACTGGGAGTTGACGTGTCGGCGGATGGGTTTATGAAAAGGGTGAGGTTAATCATAGAATTGATGAGGGGAAAAAAAGGGAGTGGTGCGTTGAGGTATATGTGGAGTCAAAAAAAAGTTATCTATGGAGGCAAAGAAGGGAATGTATGAAAGTATAGTAGTACCAACACTCTTATATGGGTGTGAAGCTTGGGTTTGGGAAATGCAGCAGCGAGGAGACGGTTGGAGGGAGCGGAGATGTCCTGTTTAAGGGGAATGTGTGGTGTAAATATTTATGCAGAAAATTCGAGTTTTGGAAATTAGGAGAAGGTGTGGAGTTAATAAAAGTATTAGTCAGAGGGCCAGAAGAGGGGTTGTTGAGGTGGTTTGGGTCATTTAGAGAGAATGGATCACAGTAGAATGACATGGAAAGCATATAAATCTATAGGGAAGGAAGGCGGGGTAGGGGTCGTCCTCGAAAGGGTTGGAGAGAGGGGGTAAAGGAGGTTTTGTGGGGAAAGGGGGTTGGGCTTCCAGCAAGCGTGCGTGAGCGTGTTAGAATAGGATGAATGGAGACGAAGGACTTGGACCTGACGATCTGTTGGAGTGTGAGCAGGGTAATATTTAGTGAAGGGATTCAGGGAAACCGGTTATTTTCATATAGTCGGACTTGAGTCCTGGAAATGGGAAGTACAATGCCTGCACTTTAAAGGAGGGGTTTGGGATATTGGCAGTTTGGAGGGATATGTTGTGTATCTTTATATGTTTATGCTTCTAGACTGTTGTATTCTGAGCACCTCTGCAAAAACAGTGATAATGTGCGAGTGTGGTGAAAGTGTTGAATGATGATGAAAGTATTTTCTTTTTGGGGATTTTCTTTCTTTTTTGGGTCACCCTGCCTCGGTGGGAGACGGCCGACTTGTTGAAAAAAAAAAAAAAAAAAAAAAAAAAAAGTATACAATTGCTATATTTATTAATTCATTAGGCTAATTAAAACTGGTTATATTTTTTTCAGGAGGAATGGAGTTTAGTTTGGGTGTATATTCTTCGATGGCCAGAGATTGTTGAAGAAATGGCTTTAGCTATCTTAAATGGATCTGGTAAAGTTAAAACTGCTGCTGTTGCTCGCTTTTTGCACTCCTTATCTCATCGATTTAGTGCATATTACAGCCGGTATCATGTACTTGTGTCTGAGCCATTACCACACTTGATGCCACTTATGTATGCAAGACTTCATCTCCTCAGAGCTATTCATATTGTAATGAAAATTTGTTTTAATGTATTGGGAATTGATTCCCCACCTACCTTCATGTGAAAATGCACTAATATACATACAGTAACTGAAACTTGAATGTGTAGGAAGAGGGAGGGTAATCACTTTGGCAAAGTCTTTAAATAGAAATTTATTTTTTTATATCTTTATTATTCTTCTCAGTTTTTTGTTTTGGCCAGATTGCAATATTTTCTGTGTAATCCACTTTATTGAAGTTATAGCTGGCGTGCAAGCGTGCATGAGCGTGTTAGATAGGAGTGAATGGAGACGAATGATACTTGGGACCTGACGATCTGTTGGAGTGTGAGCAGGGTAATATTTAGCGAAGGGATTCAGGGAAACCGGTTATTTTCATATAGTCGGACTTGAGTCCTGGAAATGGGAAGTACAATGCCTGCACTTTAAAGGAGGGGTTTGGGATATTGGCAGTTTGGAGGGATATGTTGTGTATCTTTATACATATATGCTTCTAAACTGTTGTATTTCTGAGCACCTCTGCAAAAGCAGTGATAATGTGTGAGTGTGGTGAAAGTGTTGAATGATGATGAAAGTATTTTCTTTTCGGGGATTTTCTTTCTTTTTTGGGTCACCCTGCCTCGGTGGGAGACGGCCGACTTGTTGAAAAAAAAAAAAATAGCTGGAGATTATTTTTTAACAGTGATTGGAGTATTAATTTATAAACTATAATCAGGGCCTGTTATTCAGTCTACATGCCCTTGTTTCAGTAATTTGTTGAAAGAGGATAAGTGAATGTGTTGCTCTCTGGGTCATTATTACAATTAGAAACAAAAATATTTGCAAGTCCCTTTCTCAAAAAGTGACAAATAAGTGAGAATAGATATAGCGGATAAAGGTGTTTGAGTAGTGCCAAGTGCATATGCATGTACAAATAATATACCATATAAGATAAAGAATCTAAATTGCAAGGTTTTACTATAACAGCTTTCTAAAATCTATAGAAAACACAAAGTTTGCTTATATTCCAATGAGGATGACATTATTATTAGTATAATCGAAGGAAGTGGTAAACCCATACGGGTTGCTGAAGATTGCAATATCTGTTTATACCATCTATGGTCAGCTCCTAAGTACAAACATGGCATTTCAGAGATCAGCGTTGGTGCAGTCTGTCAGTATCCTTTATTCTGCTTTATGATCTTTGAATGGTTTCAGCTAAAACTTGATTAGATTCATTTGGTTCTTTAACATTTGATTTCTATTTTGTTCTAATTCCTGGCATGCTAATGTAGATCCTGATGTGTTTTACAAGCATTCTTCACATCATTATTATTATAATATTGTATTTGTGTGTGTGTTGTTGATTTATCAAGAATACCTTCGTTCATCATCTCCTGACTAGGTCTTTGCAAGGGAATCGTTTAGGGCCCAGGAGTGGTGTAGTAACTGCTTTGTTTTTTGACAAATTCACAATGGATTTTGTGGCTTGAAAAGGAGCTTTAAAACCAGAAAGCATACAGGTCTCTGTGATGTCTTGGGCAGTCTGACAAGTTGGTAGAATTGAACTATTACAGTATTTAGTTCATACTTGAAGGAAGTCTTTAACATTGACAGAGCACTGGTCCCAGTACAGTGAGACAGTCAGCCAACACTCATCAGTAAAAGGGTACATACACACACAAGCTAAAATTACCCCTTGACAGTTAAAAAATTACATTACCAACACGTATGTTCACACTTCAGAGCGAGTAGCCCTTGTGGCTTAGCGCTTCTTTTTGATTATAATAACAATTCAGAGCGAGTATAATGACCAACTTTTATACAAGCACAATCCACCATGGATGACAAATGCTTTCCATCAAGGTTTATTAGAAACTACATACATTACTTTTATAATCATAGCTTAGGATTTGCAGTCTGCAATTTTTAAAAGAAGAGTCATCATCCAAAAGCACATGATGTTACAACACTACTACTGGAATTCCTTGCAGAGATTCAGATTAACTTAAATAGGCAAGATTTCTAGAGACCTAGACACAGAGGTAAGGAACACACACTTGTCTACATTATTATATTGTGGATTGGAATAAGTAAAACTAACAATCATTCAAATATCAAAGGTCATAAATTTCAGCATGAGATTTTTCAGATTTCACCACCTCTGGTATGTATGGGCTCCTTTTGTGTTATTCTCTAGACTTGAAAATGTTGCAGTTCAAAGAATTCTCTGAAAATTGTTAAACAACACCTTGTTTGTTTTCTAGATTACATACAACCAAAAGCTATTTTTTAAGGAATAAATTGAGAAGAATAAATTAGCACTGAAAATAATTGGAAAGTGCATTTTGTATTCTTTTATATTTCACTTATTGAAACATTATCTTTTATTTACTTTATATTTGCTAGCATTTTCAGTGTCACTTCTGTGACACAGTAGGCCAGAAGGATCGTGCAGTTTTTTAAATGATTATATACTAGTCATATATATTACACGAATACACTGTACAGTACTGTAAGCATTAGTTATAAAGCAAGTTTTTATTTTTATAGGAATATTTTAACTTTTACTCAAAATATTTTGTTTTGAATCAATATTTTAAGGACATCATCCTTGAAACTACACAACAGTTCAACTGTCACTGGCATCCATTGTTGAAGGCTGTCATATCAAGATGTCTGTAGCAGCCATTCAAAGACATGAGAGCTTTCAACAACCAATCAAATTTTAGGTAGGTATGTTAGAACTGACATCTAACACTTGAAAACCTGAACAGTAGGAAACATGCCTGTAGTTCCTTTGTTGACTATGAGAGCTTTAAAATTTAAGCAGAATAAATTATTACAACACATCCAGCTGTGTTTCTAGGCAGCCAAGCATTCTGCCAAGTCATTAGTATCACACATTACAAAGCATCCATGTATTTCAGGGGTCCGTATAAATGACTGTTTTGCTCTTTCTTATGCTAGCACACTGTTGGAGTTTCACCCGGTTTCTGCCATAATATAGTTTCTTTATCAGTATATTTTAATTTTCATAAATTTTCAGGTATTTCTTTGTTAAAAGATGTATAAAAGCTTTCACATAAAACATTATTATTATTAGAGGATGTTTAGTTTTATAACTTGTTCATTTATGAAAAAATCAACATTGTAAAAAAAAAAAAAAAAATGTATCAACTTATCTATTGAAAAGGCTAATAAAACGTTTATTTTGCTTTGCTGTATTTATTCTGGAATACAGTCTTTTCATATGTCTCTTCTGCTAAAACAGACCTTGCTATCACTTTGCAACTCTGCCTTTATAATTTGAAGCCTTTATTAATACATATTACTCAGTGAGAGCTTGACCAAGTTGTCCTCTCAAGGAAGGTTCCTTGATGCTGGTAAGAGGCTCTTCTTCTAAGGAATTGGACCTGTCCTCCAATTCCTTGAATTAAGCCTGAATACCTTCCATCATCCCAGGTGTTGTATGATCTGTGGGTTCAGTGATCCCTTTTCCTCATGTCTATAATAATCTTCCAAATTACAAACTTGGTAAGGGTCATGCTGAGCAAAACATTTTAAATAAAGTTAGCTTGTTCTATGCATGTCCCCTGTGGATTTAGTGCATAAACATGAATTTAAGAAGTGCTGGCTGTCTCTGCCTATCTTTCATACTTTTTTGGAGTTGCCCTACCTCAGTGGGAGATGGCCAATGTTGAAAAAAAAAAAAAAACTTAAATGCCATTAAGGTTAATTAGTGCCGTGGAATCACAAGCCAGTAATTCCCTACTTTCACTGTCCGTTATTCCATTACTTGAAAATAGTCTCGGTCAACTTTACTCCATCTTCCCTACACTTATGTGGCTGGAATGGTTTATATTATAATCATGGAGAAGAACTAAATTAGTAAGGGTCTTACAGTACCAGGGAAATGAGAGATAATCTGGTTTAATCCAAGAAAGGGGAGGGTAACTCATATTCCTTGTTTAAGATTATTATTATCAAAAAGAAGTGCTAAGCCACAAGGGCTATACAGCAATCCTTGGTTAAGAGAGATCACTAGAATCAAGGGTCCCCTCCCCCCATGAAAGTGTGGAATGGATCAAATGCAAAAGACCTACACAAAACTAAATCCACAGGCCTTAAAGAGCTTAAAAGATGCTGTTACAGCACCGAGTCCCTACACATTCCACCATTTGTCTTATAACACTTGCAGTATGAAATTTACTGGTTATATTTACTAAAACCAATATTTAATATATAAGAATATACTATTTTATAGTAATTTTGTAGCTTCTTTACAGCTAATCCTATGATATACTTGTACTATATTTATTTTAAATGTTGATACATCATGAGTTCACATTAGTAACTGGCACTAGTCTTCACACAGTTAACAGCAACATTTTTATTGAACACTGCAGTCCAAATATATTTTAACATTATCTGATCAACCATTACCTTACATGACCATCCAGGTAAGTTACTGCTGCCTTGATTATGGTTTACATTTAATGTTATAAGGCTTTCTATTCCACAGTAGGTCCTATTAACCCAGCAACACATAAGTGTTACAAGCTGTTTCACACTTTCTGTACAATCATTTACTCTGCCTCAGAATTAGTAGTCACTGGGAAATATTCCAAAGACATAACTTTGATTGGCAGGGACTGTTTTTAAGTGATTCTCGAGAGTTAAGGGACCTACTGGGACGTAGTAAAGCTCTTTTCTTATATCATAATGTTGTCCACCAATTAGGGTACCATGACCCCTAACAGAATAATTTGAACTGGTCTACAGGGTGAGTAAATCACCTGCAAAAGAAGAGGGAGGCACAATGCACATGGAAACATTAGCTATCAAGTCTGAAAGGAGATATTACCCATGCTGAAACATCTCAATGAAGCATCTATGGTCCATTCATGACCTTTTCATCTGCATCTGGATGTACAGTGAATCATTGAGTTAACAGACTAATAAGATTGTTTTTCCACAGCTGTAATGATCAATTCTGAATTTAACAGACTGTCCATTAAATCAATTTACCCAGTGACCCACAACAATAATGAACAATTCACTGTTCGTGGATGCTATTCGGTCAAAAATTTCGTACATTAAAATATGTTAAATCAAGGTGTTATAAATCTAGGATATAGCATTTTCCTACAATTAGGACGAAATCCATTATTCTTGTCATTCTCATGCCTTGTAAAAAAAAAAGAAAAAAAAAAAAAAAAAATCTGCTATCATTAATAAGGTTAAAGATTATGCACACTGTCCTCTCCAGCAATTCATGGAGAAAAAACAATCAAATAGTTTGTGGTGTACATACAAGGCCTTGCGAGTAATTCAGAACTGCATACATACAAACTCCTAAATTTGTATGATTTAATTATCCAATCTCTTACTAAAGGGCCTCCCCAAATACCTCAGTTATTTGCCTTTTGTTTCACAATGCCAATTTTGTCTTAGCCTTGTGCACAGCCTCTAAATTGAAAACCAATCACAAAATTTTGTTCAAAAATGTGCCCACTGGATCCAAATCTATACTTTCTTAAGAATGTTAATATTAATAAGGTTAAAGCTCTGAAACCTTTACGAAACAACTGTTTCAAAAGACCATACAATCATAAGAATAAATCCTGTAAATATTCTTCAAACTCTTCTTCTCGACTCTTTTCATCAGGTAATTTAGCAGGTCCCTTCCAAATACTGTTCTCAGATTCAGTCTCATCTACTTGCTTTGCATTACTGAGAGAGTTGCCTTCATTTGTTTCTTGAGCATTTTCAGCTGATTCACTTTCATCTCTTCTCGATTTCTTTTTCTTGCTCGATTCTCTGTGTTTATGCTTGATTGATTTTCTTGTTACTTCTTTTCTCTTTCGATAATAATTGATTTTGTACGAACAATCACGGCACAGTCCTGGAATAGAAAAATTGTGTATTTAATATTGGGGGGGGGGGGGGGTCATGGAATTTTTCCAAACAAAGGTACCTCTAGCTATAACTTTTGTCCATTTTCTCACAAAACCAGGTTAGAATACATCTTAATGGGTAGGCTCCAGGATGTACATGTTTATAGAAGGGCAACTGATATATCGGATCATTATTTAGTTGTGGCTACAGTTAGAGTAAGGGGTAGATGGGACAAGAGGAAAATGGCAACAACAAGGAAGAGGGAGGTGAAAGTGTATAAACTAAGGGAGGAGGAAGTTCGGGTGAGATTTAAGCAACTACTGGCAGAAAGGTGGGCTAGTGCAAGTATGAGTAGCAGGGGGGGGGGGAGGGGGTTGAAGAGGGTTGGAATAGTTTTAATAATGCAGCATTAGAATGTGGGGCAGAAGTTTCTGGTTATAGGAGGGTGGGTGCAGGAGGAAAGAGGAGTGATTGGTGGAATGATGAAGTAAAAGAGTGTGATAAAAGAGAAAAAGGTAGCTTATGAGAGGTTTTTACAAAGAAGTGTTATAAGAAGAGCAGAGTATATGGAGAGTAAAAGAAAGGTGAAGAGAGTGGTGAGAGAGTGTAAGAGGAGAGCAGATGATAGAGTGAGAGAGGCACTGTCAAGAAATTTCAATAAAAAAATAAGAAAAAAAAAATTTGGAGCAAGTTAAACAAGTTAAGAAAGCCAAGGGAAAGAATGGATTTGTCAGTTAAAAACAGAGTAGGGGAGTTAGTAGATGGGGAGATGGAGGTGTTGGGTAGATGGCGGGAATATTTTGAGGAACTTTTAAATGTTGATGAAGAAAGGGAGGCGGCAATTTCATGCATTGGCCAGGGAGGTATACCATCTTTTAGGAGTGAAGAAGAGCAGAATGTGAGTGTGGGGGAGGTGCGTAAGGCATTACGTAGAATGAAAGGTGGTAAAGCAGCTGGAACAGACAGGATCATGACAGAAATGTTAAAAGCAGGGGTGATAGTGTTAGAGTGGTTGGTATTTTTGTTTAATAAATGTATGAAAGAGGGGAAGGTACCTAGGGATTGGCAGAGGGCATGTATAGTTCCTTTATATAAAGGGAAGGGGAACAAAAGAGATTGTAAAAATTATAGAGGAATTAGTTTACTAAGTATACCAGGAAAAGTGTACGGTAGGGTTATTACTGAAAGAATTAGAGGTAAGACAGAATGTAGGATTGCGGATGAGCAAGGAGGTTTTAGAGTGGGTAGGGGATGTGTAGATCGTGTTTACATTGAAGCATATATGTGAACAGTATTTAGATAAAGGTAGGGAAGTTTTTATTGCATTTATGGATTTAGAAAAGGCATATGATAGAGTGGATAGGAGAGGAATGTGGCAGATGTTGCAAGTATATGGAATAGGTGGTAAGTTACTAAATGCTGTAAAGAGTTTTTATGAGGAGAGTGAGGCTCGGGTTAGGGTGTGTAGAAGAGAGGGAGACTACTTCCCGGTAAAAGTAGGTCTTAGACAGGGATGTGTAATGTCACCATGGTTGTTTAACCCTTTGACTGTTGCGGCCGTATATATACGTCTTACGAGGTACAGTGTTTGACGTATATATACTCATAAATTCTAGCGGCTTCAAATCAAGCAGGAGAAAGCTGGTAGGCCCACATGTGAGAGAATGGGCCTGTGTGGTCAGTGTGCACCATATAAAAAAATCCTGGAGCACACAGTGCATAATGAGAAAAAAAAAACTCCGACCGTTTTTTTTTTAATTAAAATGCCGACTTTGTGGTCTATTTTCGTATAGTATTTATGGTTTGTATTCTCGTTTTCTTGGTCTCATTTGATAGAATGGAAAACATATTATAGAAATAGAGGTGATTTTGATTGATTTTACTATAAAAAGAGCTCAAAGTAGGGGAAATGTTTGATTTTTGCCTATGTTCAAAAGTAAACAAATGGTGTCATTGTCCAATAAATGTCCAACTAGCCATTCTAATATGTAGTCATGAATGGGTTGATGTTATTTATACAATTATTACAGTATTGCAGTAGTCTGCATAATAGTAACTCTTCTATTTTTTGTTTGAATAAAAATTCAAAATAGAAAGCAAGAGTAATATCAGAGGGGCCTGGAGACATGACTGATGAGCAAAGAATATGTTATTTTAGAGCCAGGAATGTCTGCATTGTTCATTCTGGACCTTATTTTGATATTGTCATATTTTTTAATTTTCGTGAAATTGGCCAAATTGCAAATTTCTGACCACATTATTGGGTAGTTGAAATCGGTAAATGGGCAGTTTCTTGTACTCAATCGATAGAAAAAATGGAGTTCTAAAGAAATAGCTATGAGTTTGGTCGACAGAAACAACGGAATTAGCCGAAAATAGGGCTCAAAGTGGGCGAAATCGCTGATTTGTAAATATAGCCGAGGTCGCTAACTTCGCGAGAGCATAATTCCATCAAATTTCGTTTTTTTTGGTATCATTACAATCGGGAAAAGATTCTCTATCATTTCATAAGAAAAATTTTTTTTTTTTTTTTTAAATTTTGCGACGCCAGGAGACACCTCAGGATTGGGGGTTGCGACAGTCAAGGGGTTAATATATTTATAGATGGGGTTGTAAAAGAAGTATGTAAATGCTAGGGTGTTCGGGAGAGGGGTGGGATTAAATTATGGGGAATCAAATACAAAATGAGAATTGACACAGTTACTTTTTGCTGATGATACTGTGCTCATGATTCTAAAGAATAATTGCAAAGGTTAGTGGACGAATTTGGGAGTGCGTGTAAAGGTAGAAAGTTGAAAGTGAGCATAGAAAAGGGTAAGGTGATGAGGGTATCAAATGATTTAGATAAAGAAAAATTGGATATCATATTGGAAAGGAGTACGGAAGAAGTGAATGTTTTCAGATATTTGGGAGTTGACGTGTCAGCGGATGGATTTATGAAGAATGAGGTTAATCGTAGAATTGATGAAGGAAAAAAAGGCGAGTGGTGCGTTGAGGTATATGTGGAGACAAAAAAACGTTATCTATGGAGGCAAAGAAGGAATTGTATGAAAGTATAGTGGTACCAACACTCTTATATGGGTGTGAAGCTTGGGTTGTAAATGCTGCAGTGAGGAGACAGTTGGAGGAAGTGGAGATGTCTTGTCTAAGGGCAATGTGTGGTGTAAACATTATGCAGAAAATTCGGAGTGTGGAAATTAGGAGAAGGTGTGGAGTTAATAAAAATAGTAGAGGGCTGAAGAGGGGTTGTTGAGGTGGTTTGGTCATTTAGAGAATGGATCAAAGTAGAATGATATGGAGAGCGTATAAATCCGTAGGGGAAGGAAGGCGGGGTACGGGTCGTCCTCGAAAGGGTTGGAGGGAGGAGGTAAAGGAGGTTTTGTGGGCGAGGGGCTTGGATTTCCAGCAAGCGTGCATGAGCGTGTTAGATAGAAGTGAATGGAGACAAATGGTTTTTGGGACCTGACAAGCTGGAGTGTGAGCAGGGTAATATTTAGTGAAGGGATTCAGGGAAACAAGTTACGTATTTTTATATAGCCGAACTTGAGTTCTGGAAATGGGAAGTACAATGCCTGCACTTTAAAGGAGTGGTATGTTGTGTATCTTTATACGTATATGCTTCTAAACTGTTGTATTCTGAGCACCTCTGAAAAAACAGTGATTATGTGTGAGTGAGGTGAAAGTGTTGAATGATGATGAAAGTATTTTCTTTTTGGGATTTTCTTTCTTTTTGGGTCACCCTGTCTTGGTGGGAGACAGCCGACTTGTTAAAAAAAAAAAAATCTGGTGAAAAGTTTTTTTTTTTTATGGAAAAATGAGGGATAGTGGTTTGGAGCAGAGGTAATTTCCCGATGTGCAGGGAAGTGTCGCTATTGTATTACTTGACATAGATCACGTATCTCTATGTTGAAAAGCACATTATTTTTCTATCTCCCACATTCCAAAACATATTTTACATACAACTGTAAAGTATACTGAAAGAGTGGAAATGTTCTTGAATTTAAATGGCTGTAATTAACATGGTAACTTGAATGTACAAGTTTGTTCTCTTCAAGTGGATTATTATTACATCCATAAGAAATTGCTAAACCATACATTACCTGCAGAATAGAAGGGAATCAGATTTGAAAAGAAAGGGAGGGTAGTTCCAATTCCTTGGATCAAGAGCCCTTCACTAGCCTTAAGGCATCCTCCATTTCCTTTCATGTGTAAAGGAAGGCAGACTATGACATAGCATTGTTTCTTAGCAATTTATGACACTTGTAAATTAAATGGTAGCATTTGCTGTTTGAGAAATGACATCTACCTTTACATATTTAATTAAATGCATTGCTTTGAGTGATCATATCTATGATGTCCAATCATTTTTACCTACACAGAGCCAAATCTAAAATGCTTGTGTGAGCATGTTATATTGGAGTGGAGACAAGTGTTTTTTATGATTTGATGTGCTCTTGGAATGTGAGCAAGGTAACACTTACAGAGGGAATCAGGGAAACCAACCAGACAGACTTTTGAGTCCTGGAGATGGGAAGATTAGTGTGAGCACTCTGGAGGAGGAGTGGGGAGGTTACAGTTTGGAGGCCCATCTGAACTGTAATGAATGTGTGTTTCTGGCGTAAGACAGCTACTGAATAAATGGTGGTGAATGAGTTTCCATTTTTTTTTTCCGATCGCCCTACCTTGATGAGAGATGGCCAGTGTTAAGAAATTACTTAGTATTCACAAGTATTTTGTTTTGGTAGCTGATAGATTTAACTTGTTTCTGTTTACTTGAACTCTGTACAATGTCATTGCCCAAGTCTGTGCCCAGAACATATTTTAATAGCTTCATTATGCACCCCATACCCATCCTGTGCCAGTTCTAATTTCAGTTTCTATATGTGAGCTTATGCAATTTGTACTTCTGCATACTTCTCTTTGCACATTTCTATCTTTGATTTGTGTGATGTATATGACTGCTCTGGACTGCTGCTTCCACTCTCCTATTCACCTACTCCTATGTTTGTACCTACAGTATTTTTTTGTACACACTGCAGGGTTGGAAAAGTGTTAACTCATTTACAGTTTTTGGCTTGTCTGTCAGCATTTCTTCCATTTGTGAAAGGCAAGATCTAAATAAATCTCTCTTTTCTTGATATTCTTTCTTTTAACAAACCAGCCATATCCCATCGAGGCAAGGTGACCTAAAAATAAAAAGAAAAGTTTTTCTTTTTAATTTTAGTAATGTATACAGGAGAAGGGGTTACTAGCCCCTTGCTCCCGGCATTTTACTCACCTCTAGCAACATGCATGGCTTATGGAGGAAGAATTCTGTTCCACTTCCCCATGGAGAAAAAAAAGACTCCACCGGGAGTTGAACCTAAGTCTGCTGATTTAGAGGCAGCCGTGCCAACCGCTGCATCAGTGTTGTTGATATAACTTTCATAATTCATGCTCTTCTTAGGAATACATGATTATTGTTATCAGAGATTCAGTAGATATTTTATCTATTCTGCTTTTATATTTCTCTTTCTTTTTAAACAAGTGTATTTTATGCGAACCCCCATGCAACATATTTGAAATGTATGTAATTAAGAAATATTGCTAATTTTTACATATTATACACTTTATGTAAGAGTAAACAAGTGTTTATTACAAGTACTGTATCACTTGATTACTGTCATTTGCTAACATGTGATGATGCCATAGCCCCATGGGAATTTAGGTTACCTTTACTTGATCACTTAAGTGATATTTGGAACTGGTTTTGTATATTTGCACACTGTAAGGGAATGCATCAGGATACTGGTGAAGGGCTCATGATCCCAGGAATTGGAGCTACACTATTTCTCAGGTCAAATCTGATTACTCTCCACCCCTTCCATTCCCTAGGCATTGTATAACCCTTACTGATTGAGCACTTCCCCCCCCCCTAAAAATAATTTATATTAATGTACATTTTTAATACCTGTGTATTCCTGTATTGATTGCAAATAGTATATAACATTTATAAAAATAACACCTACTCAGTTTCACAAGTGCATTTTTCTTTGTGCCTTGCTCTACATAAGCGAAGTTCATCTCCCATGTGCGTAGTCCTTCACTCTCCTTGCATCTCTTCTCCCCACAGGTAAATTGACCCTTGCCATCTAGAACCTCTCGTTCTATCCTCCATCGCATTCCAATCTACAAAAGCAAATTCAATGTAAATTTTGCTTACACTTCTTTGATTTTGGGCAGCATTTCTCCATGAATGATTATAGTAAATTTCCAAATGAATGAGAGAGTGCATGTGTGTGCTCATGCACATACATATGTACATGAGCATCACACACACACACATCTTGGTCTATACACCAAGTGCTAAATCAGCTAGGTTCAGACAGCCATCAGGATAACCATCAAAGCCATTAACAAGATTACCTACACAAGAATTTACTGTACTAATTAGTTATTTAGTAAACAATGAAATACAAGCATAGTACTGATTTGGTAAGCTACTAGAAAGGCTTCAGGAACCTATAGTCTGTATTAGGGATGTGCCAAAGTATCGGTATCAGCCATTTTAACAGTACTGATATTTGTGAAAAAACTACCAATGCTAGACAATACTTTTATAATATTAATATTACACGTGTGCTTAAAAATATCAAAATTAACACTTGCCTCACAATTGTGAGGCTTAATCAACACCCCTCCCCCCTCCCCACATACATGCTCATCAACAAGTGTCTTAGCAACTAATAACGAACACAATATGCCAAGTAATGAGTAAATGACATTATTATTTTTTTATTTATTATCACACCGGCCGATTCCCACCAAGGCAGGGTGGCCCGAAAAAGAAAAACTTTCACCATCATTCACTCCATCACTGTCTTGCCAGAAGGGTGCTTTACACTACAGTTTTTAAACTGCAACATTAACACCCCTCCTTCAGAGTGCAGGCACTGTACTTCCCATCTCCAGGACTCAAGTCCGGCCTGCCGGTTTCCCTGAATCCCTTCATAAATGTTACTTTGCTCACACTCCAACAGCACGTCAAGTATTAAAAACCATTTGTCTCCATTCACTCCTATCAAACACGCTCACGCATGCCTGCTGGAAGTCCAAGCCCCTCGCACACAAAACCTCCTTTACCCCCTCCCTCCAACCCTTCCTAGGCCGACCCCTACCCCGCCTTCCTTCCACTACAGACTGATACACTCTTGAAGTCATTCTGTTTCGCTCCATTCTCTCTACATGTCCGAACCACCTCAACAACCCTTCCTCAGCCCTCTGGACAACAGTTTTGGTAATCCCGCACCTCCTCCTAACTTCCAAACTACGAATTCTCTGCATTATATTCACACCACACATTGCCCTCAGACATGACATCTCCACTGCCTCCAGCCTTCTCCTCGCTGCAACATTCATCACCCACGCTTCACACCCATATAAGAGCGTTGGTAAAACTATACTCTCATACATTCCCCTCTTTGCCTCCAAGGACAAAGTTCTTTGTCTCCACAGACTCCTAAGTGCACCACTCACTCTTTTTCCCTCATCAATTCTATGATTCACCTCATCTTTCATAGACCCATCCGCTGACACGTCCACTCCCAAATATCTGAATACGTTCACCTCCTCCATACTCTCTCCCTCCAATCTGATATTCAATCTTTCATCACCTAATCTTTTTGTTATCCTCATAACCTTACTCTTTCCTGTATTCACCTTTAATTTTCTTCTTTTGCACACCCTACCAAATTCATCCACCAATCTCTGCAACTTCTCTTCAGAATCTCCCAAGAGCACAGTGTCATCAGCAAAGAGCAGCTGTGACAACTCCCACTTTGTGTGTGATTCTTTATCTTTTAACTCTACGCCTCTTGCCAAGACCCTCGCATTTACTTCTCTTACAACCCCATCTATAAATATATTAAACAACCACGGTGACATCACACATCCTTGTCTAAGGCCTACTTTTACTGGGAAAAAATTTCCCTCTTTCCTACATACTCTAACTTGAGCCTCACTATCCTCGTAAAAACTCTTCACTGCTTTCAGTAACCTACCTCCTACACCATACACTTGCAACATCTGCCACATTGCCCCCCTATCCACCCTGTCATACGCCTTTTCCAAATCCATAAATGCCACAAAGACCTCTTTAGCCTTATCTAAATACTGTTCACTTATATGTTTCACTGTAAACACCTGGTCCACACATCCCTTACCTTTCCTAAAGCCTCCTTGTTCATCTGCTATCCTATTCTCCGTCTTACTCTTAATTCTTTCAATTATAACTCTACCATACACTTTACCAGGTACACTCAACAGACTTATCCCCCTATAATTTTTGCACTCTCTTTTATCCCCTTTGCCTTTATACAAAGGAACTATGCATGCTCTCTGCCAATCCCTAGGTACCTTACCCTCTTCCATACATTTATTAAATAATTGCACCAACCACTCCAAAACTATATCCCCACCTGCTTTTAACATTTCTATCTTTATCCCATCAATCCCGGCTGCCTTACCCCCTTTCATTTTACCTACTGCCTCACGAACTTCCCCCACACTCACAACTGGCTCTTCCTCACTCCTACAAGATGTTATTCCTCCTTGCCCTATACACGAAATCACAGCTTCCCTATCTTCATCAACATTTAACAATTCCTCAAAATATTCCTTCCATCTTCCCAATACCTCTATTTAATGTTTCACCTTGTGCTAATTCAATATCCAGTGTGCAATAAGTATTTCCTTATATCAAACTGGATGACAACCAACAAACTCACTCTCAATACAGACAAAACCTACTTCATGCTTTTTGGAAACAGAGCATTAAATATGCAGCTAAACATATTGATAAATTGTTCTCCCGTTACAAGTCACACTGAAGGGCAAATTTCTAGGTATCTACCTTGACTGTAATGTTAAATTTCAGACCCACATCCAGCATATAACTAAGAGTTTCCATAACAGTAGGCATCCTTTCCAAAATATGATACTATATACACCAAATGGTGATCCTTACCTTATATCACTCTCTAATATACCTTTACCTCACCTATGGTATTTGTGCTTGGGGATCTACCATGGCCAATCACCTTAAACCTTTAATAACCCAACAAAAAGCTGCGGTGTGGATGATCACAAACTTCTGTGCCAGACAACACACCCCACCACTCTTCAAGAGCTTGAACTTAAATATACAAAATACGTATACACACTTATTCTTGTGCCTACTATATATACAGAACATTGAACTTCAATAAAAACCCTCCACTCAAACTTCTCCTAGGCAGCTACAACAGAATGCACAGGCATAACACGAGGCACAAAACTTTTTGACATCCTTCATGTCTGTCTCACACTGCAAAAATGCAATGCACATAAATGGCCCAAAGATCTGGAACTCTTTGCCCGAACCAGCAAGAGGTCCCCTGCCCATAAATCAATTAACCCTTAAACTGTTTGCTCACATAGCGCTCCAAACGTAGATCTACGTTTGGACAGTTTAAGGGTTAAGGACTATACTTAAAAATCATTTCATCTCTCAATAATAAGTATACCCACACTATGCTAATCTCTCCCAAATATTTTATTATCCCTTATCTGTAAAACCATTATTACAAAAAATGTATGTTTGTATCATAAATTGTACTACTTCATATTAATAATAGAGTAAAATATTGAATATTTAAAATTTGCCACTCTCTACCTGTTTAGACTTAAGTAGTCTTTAAGTCTGCTCGAAATGCCTTGGTATGTTAGTGGCAATCTTTGTACCAATCAAATTATGAAATGTAAACATAAATTGTAACCTTCGCAAAGAAATAAACTTTTGTTTTTGTTTTGTTGTTTTTGCTATATATTGAAAATAGTCATTATAATTTAAAAAATACAGAATATACAGGAAAAATACTGGTATTGGTCAAAAATTGAGAATTGATATCAGCAAAAAATTTGGTATCATCCCACAACATGCAAATACCTCACATATCATGATTACTTGTCAATACTTTTCATAATGACTTAAAACTACACAATTCAATTCATGCAATTCAAAGATAGCCTTTAACATACCTTGTTCTCCTTAAAATGTGAGAGGTCACAAATGCAATATTCCTTGAAGAGTTTATCAAAATATTTTTTGGCAAGCTGCCTTTCCCATGTATCAGGAGTGTCATTAATATCCCACAAAAACTGATGGTTTTCTCGAATGATGTCAATATCTCTTTTGTCTCTGGACCTACAAAAAAAAAAAAAAAATCATATCTAAGACATGAAGGAGAGCATTTAAAAAGGAACTGCTGGAATTTCAAACAGATGAAAGTAAATAAAGTTATGGATATGATGGCACTTCCTGACCTTAATGCCAGAGCCTGGAAGAGGGATACTGTGCATGCCTTACAGTCCTTAGGATGCTGCAATATCATTATCAATGACTGTATATTATTATTATAATATGGGGGAGCGCTAAACCCATAGGATTATACAGCGCATGTATGGGGGGATGGAAGGTATTCAGGCTCAATTCAGCGAACTGGAGCACAGATCCAATTCCCTAGATCAAGAGCCCCTCGCCAGCGTCAAGGAACCTCCCTTGAGGGGAATGACTGTATAACTAACAGGAATTCACAATTAATTCACACTAACCTGAATGATAATTATAGGTAGTAGGTTGGTAGACAGCAAGCACCCAGGGAGGTACTAATGTCCAGCCAAATAAGTGTGAAATGGAAACCTCTAGTTTTACACAATGGTAGGATTGTGGTGTCTTTTCTTTCTGGCTCATAACCATGCTAAAGTACAGTTTGCTACTTCTACTTACCCTTAGGTCACACTACACATACATGTACACATACGTGTATACACACTCATCTGCGTTTTTTTATTTTTCTTAATAATAATTCTTATTTATTCCCTTTTATCTCCATGGGAAAGTGAAGAAGCATTCTTCCTCTGTAAGCCATGCATGTTGTAGAAGTGACTAAAATGCCAGGAGCAAGGGGCTGGTAACCTCTTCTCTCGTATAAATTACTAAATATAGAAAGGTTTTTATGTTGGAGTGTAAGCAAGGTAACATTTATGAAGGGATTCAATGAAACCGGTTAGCCAGACTCGAGTCCTGGAGGTGGGAAGTGCAGCACCTGCACTCTGAAGGAGGAATGGGGATATTTTCAGTTTGGAAGGGCATATGAACTGCAGTATCTGCATGCCCTTGGCAAGACAATGATGGAGTGATGGTGAAAGTGCTTCTTTTTTGGGCTCACCCTACCTCGGTGGGAGACAGCCGGTGTATTAGGAAAAGAAAAAGTGATAATATCAATTAAAAGTGTGCTAAACCCATGAGGTAGTTATCATGAGAACCATTTTTTGAGATCATCTTAGATACAAGGACACATTAGCAACTAATGAGATATTTATTGCTGCTATGTTTTGCTCTCTAGGAACTTTATCAAAGCCAATACAAACATTATAAGGACACACAGGGTACATAAAGGCAATATGATAGAATGCAAGAAGTAAAACATAAGCACTGCCATAGGCCTACTGGTTCATGCTGGTGGTGGTAGTAATAGAATCCTCCTTAAAATTAAACTCTCATCAATAACAAAAAAAGGCACAATACCGTGACTGGAACGATACACAAATAACCCGCACATAGAAGAGGAGCTTACGACGATGTTTCGGTCCGACTTGGACCATTTACAAAGTCACTGTGACTTTGTAAATGGTCCAAGTCGGACCGAAACGTCGTCGTAAGCTCCTCTCTTCTATGTGCAGGTTATTTGTGTAAACTCTCATCAACAGACAAGAAATTACTTCTACTAGTACTACTAGCATGGGCCAGGCCTATTGCAGTGCTTATGTTCTACTTCTCGCACTTTACCATGTTACCTTCATATGACATGTCTATCCTTGTAATGTTTGTATAGGCTTGATAAAGCTCATAGCAGCAATAAATGTCTCAGTTGCTCATACAGTGGAACCTCGGTTTTCATATGCCCTAGTTGGAGAAAATTCTTGGAGAAAGTGCTCTATAAAATGAATTTTTTGTTAATATTTTTGGGTGTCTGGAATGGATTAATTGGTTCTGTACCAGACACCCAAAAATATTAACAAAAAATACATTTTATAGAGAATTTTCTCCAACTAGGGCATATGAAAACAGAGGTTCCACTGTATGTCCTTTTAGTGCTTTTACACAACAAAAGTAAGGTAATGAATATAACTCACGTATCTCGTTGCAAAGCTGCAGTGCTACCAGGATGATAGAGAATATAATGATTAATTAGAAGCTTGTGACGTTCGTAAGCTGTCAAATTGGACATCTGATATCGTAGTCTCTTCCCTTCATCTTTACTTGCTACATCTGCCAGAAAGGACTTGCTTGGTAGTCCTGAAAGAAAGAAATTATAAAAATATTTTCTTATCACTAGCAAACACTGAATAAAATTAAAAACAAATACAGAACGAAATGAGATAATATGTCCACTAGTCAACATTAAAGAAAGTGAGAGAATACTAACTGGCAGGTAAATAGGTGGGATTAACCGATACTGTATAATACCTACCAATGGATGTACTGAATATAGAGCAAGATGGTCATGGATTCAAGTGGTGTACTACTGGCAACAGGAAAAAAAAGACATATGATGCAGATCGTGCTTTTATTGGGACGATTCTTTGCTTCTGTGTACAATTTCGTCAATTCATGCCTTTATGAAGCTCTACACAGAGCCAAATATTGTCCAGTGAAAGCTCATTCTGGAACATATCTTTTCCTCAAAATGGTTATGCTAGGCTCACTATAAACATTATTTTTTTTTTATTAACACATCGGCCGATTCCCACCAAGGCAGGGTGGCCTGAAAAAGAAAAACTTTCATCATCATTCACTCCATCACTGTCTTGTCAGAGGGGTGCTTTACACTACAGTTATAAAACTGCAACATTAACACCCCTCCTTCAGAGTGTAGACACTGTACTTCCCATCTCCAGGACTCAAGTCCGGCCTGCCGGTTTCCCTGAACCCCTTCATAAATGTTACTTTGCTCACACCCCAACAGCACGTCATGTATTAAAAACCATTTGTCTCCATTCACTCCTATCAAATACGCTCATGCACGCTTGCTGGAAGTCCAAGCCCCTCACACACAAAACCTCCTTTACCCCCTCCCTCCAACCCTTCCTAGGCCGACCCCTACCCCGCCTTCCCTCCACCACAAATTTATACACTCTCAAAGTCATTCTGTTTTGTTCCATTCTCTCTACATGTCCGAACTACCTCAACAACCCCTCCTCAGCCCTCTGGATAATAGTTTTGGTAATCCCACACCTTCTCCTAATTTCCGAACTACGAATTCTCTGCATTATATTCACACCACACATTGCCCTCAGACATGACATCTCCACTGCCTCCAGCCTTCTCCTCGTTGCAACATTCATCACCCATACAAGAGTGTTGGTATAACTATACTCTCATACATTCCCCTTTTTACTTCCATGGACAAAGTTCTTTGTCTCCACAGACTCCTAAGTGCACCACTCACTCTTTTCCCCTCATCAATTCTGTGATTCACCTCATCCTTCGTAGACCCATCTGCTGACACGTCCACTCCTAAATATCTGAATACATTCACCTCCTCCATACTCTCTCCCTCCAATCTGATACCCAGTCTTTCATCACCTAATCTTTTTGTTATCCTCATAACCTTACTCTTTCCTATATTCACTTTTAATTTTCTTCTTTTGCATACCCTACCAAATTCATCCACCAACCTCTGCAACTTCTCTTCAGAATCTCCCAAAAGCACCGTGTCACCAGCAAAGAGCAACTGTGACAACTCCCACTTTATGTTTGATTCTTTATCTTTTAACTCCACACCTCTTGCCAAGACCCTAGCATTCACTTCTCTTGCAACCCCATCTATAAATATATTGAACAACCATGGTGACATCACACATCCTTGTCTAAGACCTACTTTTACTGGGAAATAATCTCCCTCTCTCCTACATACTCTAACACGAGCCTTACTATCCTCGTAAAAACTCTTCACTGCTTTCAGTAACCTACCTCCTATACCATATACCTGCAACATCTGCCACATTGCCCCCCTATCCACCCTGTCATAAACCTTTTCTAAATCCATAAATGCCACAAAAACCTCTTTACCCTTATCTAAATACTGTTCACCTATATGTTTCACTGTAAACATTTGGTCTACTCACTCCCTACCTTTCCTAAAGCCTCCTTCTTCATCTGCTATCCTATTCTCCGTCTTACTCTTAATTCTTTCAATAATAACTCTACCATACACTTTACCAGGTATACTCAACAGACTTATTCCCCCATAATTTTTTCACTCTCTTTTATCCCATTTGCCTTTATACAAAGGAACTATGCATGCTCTCTGCCAATCCCTAGGTACCTTACCCTCTTCCATACATTTATTAATTAATAGCACCAACCACTCCAAAACTATATCCCTCCTGCTTTTAACATTTCTATCTTTATGCCATCAATCCCAGCTGCCTTACCCCATTTCATTCTACCCACTGCCTCACGAACTTCCCCCACACTCACAACTGGCTCTTTCTCACTCCTACAAGATGTTATTCCTCCTTGCCCTATACACAAAATCACTATATTAAAAAAAGGGGCTAAACCAGGGTGGGTTGTACAGCACTGCTCCCAATATACATTCTCATACCAATACTGTTCATCAGCGCTAGGAGAGTATTAAAAATTCTGCCAAAAACTAGTTTGATATCCTTATCAAGCAAATAAAAAAAAAGAACATTGCTGTGAGGGAAAAGTTCAATAGATAGGAGTAGCGAGGGAGTACAGTGGTCCCTTGTTTTTCGTAATTAATCCATTCCTGGAGGAGCTACTATAAACGAAATTTACGATTTGCGAATCAATTTTCCCCCATAAGAAATAATGTAAATACAATTAATCCGTTCCTAACACCCAGAAGTATTAAAACAAAAAATTTTTTTACATTTAATATACATATAGTACATAAGCAATACAATGGGAAATGATGAATGAAACATTAATAGCATAACACTTACCTTTATTGGAGATTCTTCTTAGTGTATGGGAGACTGGAGGAGGAGAGAGATTGGATTGTTTACAGTTTGGAAGGGGAATCCCCTTCCAGCAACACCTCAGGTACCAATTGCTTCTCTGGGGTTGCTTCTCTTCTCTGTTTCTTAATGCCACTAGGACCACCTTGAGTCACTCTAGTCCTGTCTCGAAAAGTAACTGTGGAGAGAGCTCTGTTTCTGGCGTCTCTAATACTTCCCTAAAATGGCCCAAGACTTTGTCACTGTACATATTTCTCACCTTCTTTACCACAGGCTTGGCCCTAGGAGCTTTCTTTGGAGCCATGGTAGCTTATTTAGTACTTGCAAGCACTAAAATGAGTGGAATATTATGAAATATTTTGTAGGAGCACTTGAGGGGACCTTCACTCACTGGTAAACAATGCCAGACTGGCTGGGTAGGTAGGCCGCCCTGGCTCACACCGTGCATGCACGTCCAGGACGAACTACTATTCGCGAGTCAACCTATGAAAAGCGAGTCCATGTTTATACGAAAATACCCCTATGATTGGCGAAATTTATGATTGCCAAGAACTACGAAAAGTGAGGGACCACTGTATATAGTAACAATAGTTTCATTGCCGGCTACTTGTTAAGGTAGGGTAAGTCCAGCTCCCGCTATTCCCCCCCCCCTTTTTCCCCCTCCCCGAAAGTGATAGTTTGATTGCCGGCTGCTTGTTAAGGTAGGGTCAGTCTAGCTCCCGCTATCCCTTCCCCTCCCTCTTCCCCCCCACCGAAAGGTGACGTGTGGGGCTCCGGTCAAACAGTAAATCACTCAACTCACAGCTCCCAACACTACTGTAAGTACACGCCTGATCATATTTTAGTGGACTTATTGGTTGAAAGCTTCACTTTTGACCAATAATTAACTTAGTCCTTTCATTCTTTATCTGTTAAATGTTTTAATAATCACTACATCTTTTAGGTATTGTACTTATCATGGAGAGTGATTTCTTAATTACCCTTTGAGGGTTTTGGTCGTACTAGTACGTCTTACGCGTAGGGGTTTTTGACGTACTAGTACGCATAAATTCTAGCGGCCTCAAATCTAGTGGGAGTAAGCTGGTAGGCCTTCATATGAAAGAATGGGTCTATGTGGTCAGTGTGCACAGTCTAAAAAAAATCCTGCAGCACAGGAAAAGGTGTGGAGTTAATAAAAGTATTAGTCAGAGGGCAGAAGAGGGGTTGTTGAGGTGGTTTGGTCATTTAGAGAGAATGGATCAAAGTAGAATGACATGGAAAGCATATAAATCTATAGGGGAAGGAAGGCGGGGTAGGGGTCGTCCTCGAAAGGGTTGGAGAGAGGGGGTAAAGGAGGTTTTGTGGGCAAGGGGCTTGGACTTCCAGCAAGCGTGCATGAGCGTGTTAGATAGGAGTGAATGGAGATGAATGGTACTTGGGACCTGACGATCTGTTGGAGTGTGAGCAGGTAATATTTAGTGAAGGATTCAGGGAAACCGTTATTTTCATATAGTCGGACTTGAGTCCTGGAAATGGGAAGTACAATGCCTGCACTTTAAAGGAGGGGTTTGGGATATTGGCAGTTTGGAGTGATATGTTGTGTATCTTTATATATGTATGCTTCTAAACTGTTGTATTCTGAGCACCTCTGCAAAAACAGTGATAATGTGTGAGTGTGGTGAAAGTGTTGAATGATGATGAAAGTATTTTCTTTTTGGGGATTTTCTTTCTTTTTTGGGTCACCCTGCCTTGGTGGGAGACGGCCGACTTGTTGAAAAAAAAAAAAAATTTATACTAATTTTTTTATTTTTTACTAACACATCAGCTGTCTCATCAAGGCAGGGTGGCCCGAAAAAGGAAAACTATCATCATCATTCACTTCATCACTGTCTTACCAGAGGCACACTTAAATACAGTTATAAAACTGCAACATTTATGCTAAATGACTAAATTTATTCTCACTTTTTACCTTGTCTAGATGGTCTCTCTCTTTGGAAAAGAGCATGACGTTCTTGCTGCTTTTTGCGTAGCTTGACATCTTCTTCAAATGCAGAATCATAACTACTAGTTGCATTCTGAGAAAATACAGTAGGTATTATTAGGTATCTTGTGTATTAAAGCACAGTACAGTATTTACCATACATCAGCTATAATGAATTCCAAGTATGGTATATGGATGCAACCACTTAAGTCATTTTACATTCAGTTTAATGGAATACAAAGAAATGAGTATGAGCAATTAAAGATAAAGGAAAATTTACATTATTATTATTATTATTATAATTGAAAAGAAGTGCTGAACCTGGGAAAATTTACAGAAGTCAAACTTTTACATGACATTCATTTTGCACTATAATTGTAAGTAGAATACGTTTTGGGGTGAAGCAGAATGTAGAAGAAAATACAGTAGAATTTTGCTTCACTGAATCAAACAATTCAAGACTTGAAAGATTACACACTCCCAAGCTTTTGGAACTACTGTACCACAAATATTATTATAATCAAAACCAAGAGCTAAACCCACAAAGGTCACATAGGATGTACCACAAATAAAATCTGCTGTAAATGTCTGAGGTAGGCTAGTCATAAGAACTGCATAATTTTAGCAAACTGCATACTAGTCAATACTGATATGTATTGTAAACATTAGCTATGTCATACTGAAAAATTGCATTTCCTATACCAAGTGATGCAAATGGTTTCAACATCATCTGGATAATAGAAGTAATTATTAGAATTGTGAAATACAGTATATGTCAGTGCCACTGTTGATCAAAGCAAATGGGTGGCAGAGATTAGGCCACTAATATTAAAAATGTTACATCAGCCAGAAATTGCTTTAGTTTTTCCATCTGCTTTCACACCAGTGGTGAAAATGATTTAGGTATCATCTAGGGTAAAAAAATAAAAAAAAAATGTGTAGCAAGTGCATACTCATTACAAAACTGTTCATTATAACAAGAAATTGTTGTTTTTAATGAAGCTACGGACGACTGTTGCACATTTTAGTGCTGTAAGCATATGAACTGTTCCTGCTTAACCAGATTTCTCTTGCTCACCCACTTCATCTGCCAGTCAGGTACCCACAAAAAAGGTGTTATTTAGATTCAATTAGTCTGCAACATTATTTATAAGTGTATGAAAATACAGAGATGATTTGTAGAAGAATCATCCTCAAGCAATGGTAGCCCTTCAACCCAATGCTTGGTCAATTCCTGTTTTCACAGCTACTCTTTCTAGGCTCTGTATCATTCACTGTCTAGAATTATATTTCCCATCCAGGGCCTTCTGATCATTCTTAATGAAAAGCGTGTACGTATACAGTTTTAGTATCCAAGTATTATGGAATTAGAGAGCTCCATTGTCTTTTATTTGCTTCTATATTATTATTATATTTATGGGGAGGCACTAAACCCATAGGGGTCATAAAGTGCCTGGGAGGCATTCAGGTTTGATCCAAGGAAGGGGAGGACGAGTCCAATTCCTTGGATAAAGAGCTCCTCACTAGCATCAATGAGCCTCCCTTGAGGGGTCTGCTTCCCTAGCATTCACATTCCTATAACCCATAAAATTATCATGGATGATAGTAAAACTAACACTATCTTCAAATGCTACTCTTCTTTATAACTGTATATCTCTTTAACCTACACCTTTAGATTCTTGTAGAGTCCTTCTGTCTTCTTCACCTATCTGTTCTTTGTGTCTTTTATTTCTTCTTCCCACCTTGGTTACTGTCTGTGGTCCAAATCTGCCTTTCCTTCCTAGAATATTTCCTATATACTACCCTCTCTGATAAATTAATGTAATGTAATGTAATGTAACTTATCCCTACCCAACTTACTTTGGGACAGCACACATTTAGTGGGTGTTGCTTAGTACAAGTATAGTTTGATCCAAACTCAAGATACTCAGGCTGGTTGTTGCAAAGGCTAGTGCAAGTACAGCTAGTGCAAGAATGCTTTACGGCATTCTGCTAATATGGCGATTTCATATTATGACCAAAACTTGCTATATGGCTCCCCATCTTTCTAATACAGCGAGCCCCACCCAGTTTGTTTACATTCTTCGTGAGCACATCTCTATTATATCTGGAAACTTTCCAAAATTTCAAGTGTTTTAAAGTTATTGCATATTTTATATGTACTCTGATACTTATACTTATGTGTACCTGTACCTAAATATACTTACACACTGTGCTGACATGCAGGTACACATTAAAATCACTAAGTCTCTCTCTACTCTTGAAGATGCCATATGTATTAATAATAATACAGTGGACCCTCGCCTAATGATATTAATCCGTTCCTGAGAGCTCAATGTTAGGCAAAATTATCGTTAGGCGAATTAATTTTCCCCATAAGAAATAATGGAAATCAAATTAATCCATTCCTGACACCCCAAAGTATGAAAAAAAAAAATTTTACCACATGAAATATACATTTTCCTACACAAACAGAAGAAGACATGCACAATTACTACTGTACTAAATAAAGAATACATGACATGTACCTTTATTGAAGATCTGGTGATCACTGATGGGATGGGAGGGGAGATGGTGGAAGTTGTTATTGTTTGGAAGGGGAATCCCCTTCCATGAGGACTTGAGGTAGCAAGTCCTTTTCTGGGGTTACTTCTCTTCTTCTTTTAATGCCACTAGGACCAACTTGAGAGTCACTGGACCTCGATCACACAACAAATATGTCCACAGAGCTCTGTACCTCGTGTTCCTTTAACCTTTAAATGGTCCAAACGTATATATACGTTTTTTCAACATTTGAAAGTATGTAAACAAATGTACATCTTTTTTTTTTTTTTTTTTTACATTTGAAAATGTGTAAAAAACATAGATCTACTTTTGGAGAACTACGGATTTAAACGTCGATCTATTTGGACCGTTTAAGGGTTAAGATTTGCCTAAAATAGGCCACAACATTGTCATTGTAATAGTCACTAGCACGGCTTGCAATAGTTGTGTTATGTTGATTTTCATCCATAAAGGTTTGCACTTCAAGCAACTTTTCACACATTTCCTTAACCCTTTCAGGGTCCAGAGGCCAAATTTCAACATGTGCACTAGGGTCCAAGAATTTTCAAAAAAATAATTTTGTTATTTTTTCTTATGAAATGGTAGAGAATCTTTTTCTGAAGGTAATAAAACAAAAGGTACGAAATTTGATGGAAAATTGACGAAATTATGCTCTTGTGAATTTTGATGTGTCGGCAATATTTACACATCAGCGATTTTGCTGAATTTGACTCCCATTTTAGGCCAATTACAGTATTCCAGTCAACCAAATTCTTCGCTATTTCACTAGTATTACTTCTATTCTATCGATTGAGCACAAGAAATCGCCAAGTCAACTGTTTCAACAACAAAATAGTGACCGGAAATTGGTAATTTGGCCAACTTAATGCAAAGTTCAAAATACTCCAATTTCAAAACAGGGTCCAGAATAAACAATGCAGGCCTTCCTGGCACTAAACTAACATTTCCTCTGTTCATTAGTTACATTTTCAGGCTTTACAAATGAATTCCATTTTGATTTTTTATTCACATAATGAATTTTTATTCAAACCAAAAAATAAAAGATTTACTGTTATGCAATATTGTAATAATTGTATAAATAATATCAGCACATTTGCGAACGTATATTAGACCCACCAGCTGGTGTGTATTAGATGTGTGAGGTCATTTGTTTACTCTAGAACATCGGCAAAAATTTAACATTTCTGCTACTTTGAGCTCAGTTTCAAGCCATTTCCAGTTCTAAAACCAATCAAAATCATCTCTATTTCTGTAGTATATCTTCCATTCTATCAAATGAGACCAAGAAATTGCAAATACAACTCTAAAAAATATACAAAAAAACACTGCAAAGTCGCTGTTTTAATCGAAAATTACAGTCTCAGGATTTGTTTTATGTGGTGCACACATACCACATAGATGTATTCTCTCATATCTAGGCCCAAATTTACTGCTCACAGCTTATCAGAGTGAGCTGAGCTCATGGCGTAGATCTACGGTTTGGACCCTGAACATAAAGCCGTAGATCTACGGCACGGACCCTGAAAGGGTTAATCTCTGAAGAAGTCAACTTCTTTAATTTCTCTCTCCCCTCCTCTGAAGCAGTTTCCTCAGGTCTGGCCTCTTGCTGTTGCAGATGCTCTTGCAGCTCATCAGTGGTTAGTTCTTCATCGTCCTCCTCCGCCAAATCTTCCACATCTTCCCTACTAACCTCAAACCCCAAGGACATCCCCAGTACCACAATAGATTCCACAACCGGCATAGGCTCCTGAGGGTTAGCCCCAAACCCTTCGAAATCCCTCTCCTCTGCACATTCTGGCCACAATTTCCTCCAATCAGAGTTCAAGGTCCTCTTAGTCACTCCCTTCCAAGCCTAACCTATAAGGTTTACATAACTAAGGAAGGGGTAGCAATAATGTTGAAGGATCAGTTATGGAAGGAGAAAAGAGAAAATGAATGTGTAAATTCAAGGATTATGTGGATTAAAGTAAAGGTTGGATGCGAAAAGTGGGTCATAATAAGTGTGTATGCACCTGGAGAAGAGAGGAATGTAGAGGAGAGAGAGAGAGATTTTGGGAGATGTTAAGTGAATGTATAAGAACCTTTGAACCAAGTGAGAAAGTAATTGTGGTAGGGGACCTGAATGCTTAAGTAGGAGAAACTTTTAGAGAGGGTGTGGTAGGTAAGTTTGGGATGCCAGGTGTAAATGATAATGGGAGCCCTTTGATTGAACTTTGTATAGAAAGGGGTTTAGTTATAGGTAATACATATTTTAAGAAAAAGAGGATAAATAAGTATACTACACGATATGATGTAGGGCGAAATGACAGTAGTTTGTTGGATTATGTATTGGTAGATAGAAGACTGTTGAGTAGACTTCAGGATGTACTTATTTATAGAGGGGCCACAGATATATCAGATCACTTTTTAGTTGTAGCTACACTGAGAGTAAAAGGTAGATGGGATACAAGGAGAATAGAAGCATCAGGGAAGAGAGAGGTGAAGGTTTATAAACTAAAAGAGGAGGCAGTTACAGTAGATATAAACAGC